TATACACATAAATTGGTATTTATTTTCTCAGATTATTTTTTAACTTTTTAATTTAGCTTACTTAACTGGAAGTGTCCGTCACAATCTAAATACTGATAATTATCGCTAAAAATATACTAAGAATTATCATAAATGCCAAATTGGTGTTGGTTCTTAGGCCAATTTTAACATTGTCCTTTGACTCAATCCTCTTGAGTCATGCATTCTAACTGGTGATTTTCAATCGTTTCAGTATATTTGCTAAATACTAATTTGGACTAACTCTGAAAACCTCAGCAGGTTATTTGTCCTCATGTCTGGTTTACATAATACAACTAAGATTGTTGTTGTAATCAGACAAAACCGTGATCGATAACTAATTACATTTTATTAAAAGACAAATTCAATAACATTATTCACACACACACACACACACCTGAATATTTATTTACAGGAACTTAACTTGCATTGAAAATATTCTTAGATAACAATCTAATTACATAATTACTATATATATATATATATATATTCTAGAACAATAGTAGTCATGCTCTCATAATAGTCTCTTCGGCGGTGTCGTGTGAGGCGGGTCGTTACGTTCCCTAAAATATGGTTGAGCGAAGCGATGGCTGGTTCATGCGTCATGCTCGTGAACGGGTGCTGCCAGCGGAGATGAGTCTGCCCTAACTTCCTTAATATTGAAGTTAATGTTTAGTCACACTGAATATAAATAACACTATTTGTATTTATACTGTATGACACAGCAATCAAAATGCAGGTAAACAATTAATGTATATTTAATAATTATGTAATGAAAAGTGACTTCATGAATCACCTCTGAAGTCATTTTTCAATTTGACGACTCTATAAATAATAAAACAGGGAGAAAAAAACAGCCCTTGCTGAGTTTCTTGCCGGTTCTTCTCAGTACAAGGTCTCCCGCCGTAGATTTACGAACCGATGGCGTAGCTTCTAGACATTCATATGTGCTTGTAACAGCCTAAACTGAATAAATGATTTTGATTATGATTATGATTATGAATAAAACAAAAACTAAAAACCTGAAAAAATAAAATTAATAACTAAAATATATTATTAAAAGGAGTCCCTTTGGGAAGGATCCGGAGATACTGGCAGCGTTACCCCTTTGAATGGCTAGACTAATTCTTTGTCCGAGGTAGCTGCCAGCTCTTCGGTCTCCTGTGATGTCGACTAACCTTTTTGCTATTTCCTTAAATAGCCTTAAAGCGCTAGGACCCCACGGACCAAGGGTCTGGACACCGAATGGGACAAAATCATATTCGGAGCCTGTTGTAATTATATTTTAGTGGTACAGTAAGATTAATCAATGTCATCGCCATTGTCTAATTATACGCATTTACACAAAACTCCTAGGATTTTCGCGAAAATTAAATTTAGCAAATCATCCTACGACTGATGTAAACTGAAAAATACTCTATTCATTATAATATACCATTGAAGGTACTCGTAGTTAATATAAAATACAAATTCGTTAAAAAAATATTTTTTATTAAAAGTGGCAGGTTATGGAATCGTCTCATCATAAACATCACTGGACTTTAAATGTTTCTGATTTGATCACTCTCATTTCAATCAATAATGATTATTTAATGTTTTTTGTTCATATGAATCCAGCTGATGTAAATTAACAAATGTGATGTGAGTTAGCCATTTGGCTACGCTTGTGATGTTTAATGAATAAAACAGAATTAAAACTTTATTGGGAAAAATGAACACCATCTTCATACAAACAAAATAACTAAAAAGCAAAATACTATACATAATATTCTTTACTTATCTTAATTGTATTCAAAGTCAAATTGACGTTTGGTGTTGGTGCCATAGTAACCCTAGCACTACGTAAATCGTAACTCAGATCTACACAATGACTTCATGATTTATCTCATATTGAAGTCATTTTTCAATAGGGTATTTGACAGTATTAAAAATTGTTAGCATCTGTGTTTGGAATGAATATTGACAGGGGTTTTTACTATTTTTTCAAAAAAAAATATTCATAATTTTACTGAAAACCCACGAAAAATAGATTAATTAATAGTTTTCTTATCTATTGTCACGTGACCCAAAACGCTTGGGATTGACAAAGCCTAAAATGAAGTCACACGCAAGTAAACTTCCGGTTAAAGTGACATTACATTGTATCGTTGCAATGTCACTTACTGTTATTAAACAGTCGTGTGACGTCACACCCTAGTAAGACGCCATATTGTCCAGAGAAACGTTTTCGCGGCAAATTGAAAATGGTTATTTTTACTGAAATACACAGCAGAATAATGAATATCCACTGTGGACGGACTCCATTAACATTAGTCAATAACATGAGATCGTTTTCTTAAACTTGTCAAATACCCTATTGGCGACTCCGTATATAATACGGGGAGAGAAAACAGACCTTGCCGAGTTACTTGCCGGTTCTTCTCAGTACAAGGTCTCCCGCTGTATTGTTTTTATCTATTGAATGTTGGTTTTTTTAATCTAGATGCATAACACATGCAATCGAATTGAGAATCTCCTCTTTTACAAGTTAACTTATTTTTAATTCCCTGTACCCTTTGTCGCAACTAAAGGATTAACGCTATCATGTCATCATCATCATCATCATCATCCATGACCCACCACGCGGGCCCAGTGCGGATTGGCGGGAGCTAAAGACTGCAGATGCAGGCGGCTTAACGTGCCTCCCGAAGCACGGAGGAACTCGCGATAGAAGATTTTTGGTCACCCATCGAATGACCGACCACTGCGAAAGTTGCTTAACTTCAACGATCGCATCTGAACGCGCTTACCATCCGCTCCATCGAGCTCCTCCTATCTCCTATCTTGTATTATCATATATTAAATTTTGGCATTACATCTCAATGTTACTGTTGTGTTGTATGTGTATCTTGCTTTATATGTTAATCTTATACATATATTGGTTAATTAATTAATTATAGTTAATTGAACTCACGGATCTGAAAAAAGGTTATGTAAGTCTCTATTATTTAGCACTGAGAGGCTTATAACTACGCCTTTGTGTGTGATTTCTTTCACATGTTTATTTTTTTCCTGCATTGTTTTTCTATCAGAAAAGGAAGTATACAATTAAATGACCCACATGTGGCCGTCATAGATACTTGAAATATCAGATAAATAATTGAAACCGTACATAAACCGTGGAGCTTTAGAAACACTAATAGCTACAGGAATACCTCAACAAAAAAAAATCGAGGGGTGCGGGTTCGAGTACCGTCTTCGGCCTGGTCCGCGTGGAATGTTTTTCTAGTAATATTTTCTTTGGATAAGTCCTCTTACGATAATGGCTAACTAGAGCCGAGGTCCAAGTCTCAGAGACGCCCTCTAATTGAGCCGACCCCCTCAGGTTCAAGTGGTCTAGAGGCTCCAGACGGAGAGGAAACTCTTCCCGTGGGGAAACGCCATCCACCTGGAATACCTCTAGAGGCACTCGCAAATTCTCGGCTTGAGGTCCTCTTAGGATCTCGCCGTCCCTAAACCCGGTGACGCTGTAAAGGTCATCTGCCACCAACAGCATACACACTGAAAAAAAAATTTGGCCACTGATGTACTCATCAGAAAATTCTCTATGGCACAAGGGGTATTACCACTTAGGGAATAAATTCTTGTCACATTCTAATTCCATCGTTTCTTTAGTTTAAGTTGATGCAATAAGTTATGAAGGTCACTTTGCCATCAGTTTGCAATTTTACGGCGGGTCAAACACAAGTGGATTGGCAAAATTATTAAGAGAGAGAGAAAACAGCGGATTAGTCGCTCGAATGAAGATCTGTAACGATTTTATTTGAGAATGCAGATTTATAGAGCTTAAGATTCCATGAAATACAGTGGTAAAATTTTTGTTCTACGACAAATATTGACGATGTTATGACGAAATTACTAAACAAATTTTCGACTGGCCGCGTGGTGACTGTGTGGTCACTCTACTGAAGTCCGAGTAGGGTTCCAGGGCTCCGCGTGGTAGAGGATCGGGTTCAGGCCGGCAAGGTGAAGATAGCTGGAGTGGCACACCTTCTGCCGCATCATCTATCTTCGCGACTGGACTTCACTTACATTAGTGTTGTAAATAGCCCTAGGCCCTAGCTGCGTTTCTTGCCGGTTCTTCTCAGTACAACGTCTCTCGCCATACGAACCGGGGTGGCATAGAGTTTTACGTCTGATGGCATTAGACTTTCACAAAAGCATGTAACAGCCAAGACTAGTGTTGCCAGGTGTCCCGATTTTCAGGGGTCTGGGGACGCGTCCTGATTTGTATCTGATCGGGACGCTGAATGTCCCGATTAATCAAAAAATGAAATTTATGTAATTAATATAATACTATTATACTTGCACTTACTAGTACTTTAAAACGCAATAAATTAAACCCAGACTTAAAAACCCCTTGTTTTTATTTACTGTCTCGATCTGCTGCCCTAAATCCCGATTTTTTTTGACCTCATGTTCCGATTTCAAACAAATCGGACCTGGCAACACTAGACAAGACTAAACAAATAATTTTGAGTCTGACTTGAGTTTGAATTAACATCACGTGAGGTGAAGTAGTTTTTGCGCCTCGTATTAAAAAAAACACCAGCTCTGGCATGCCAGCAAGCTACTGTAGCCGTATTAATCTACACTATTTAAGTTTGCAACATCTAAACAAGAAAATAATCCTAAAAAAATCCACGCGGACCAGACAGCAGACAGGATTCGAACCCGCACCCTTGGCTATAAGGACGAATGCACTGACTATTATACGACAGCGGCCCTGTTGGCCGTGTCGAATTCTTTCTAGCCTTTGTAGGTAACCCACAGTGTGAAATGAATACCTTTACAAGTATTAAACATTTGAAAGGAAAAATAACAATTATAGTTTTAATTTTTATAACAATAGTAATATTTTCTTTAGATTTCAACATCGAGCAGATACAATATATGCTTAAAACATAAAAATCATATCTAAACAAATTGCTAAACGTTTCCAGCACACTGAAGGGTATGCAGGACACCACCACGTAGACAAAGGCGCTAAAGGTTTCAAGACCGACCACAACCACCGCAAGGAGTACGAGGAGGCCGCTGGCAAGAAGCACAAGCATCACGACCACGCTGGCCACAAGGGCAGCCACGAAGAGGAGGCGCATGGCTCCAGAGGCGCCAAGTTCGACGAGAAGAAAGGACACAAGAAAGGGCACAAGACGAAAGGTAAGGATCTAAAAAATCCTAGGGATATTATCCCGCAGTAAAACGTAGCCTATGTGTTAATCCATGGTGTCAGCTAAATCCATACCAAATTTTTGTAAAATCGCTCTAGCCGTTTAGAAGTGAACGAACATTCACTCACTCACAAACTTTCGCCTTTATAATATTAGTGTGATAACCAGCACTAACAAGACATTTCATTAGAAAAAAAAATATCGGATACTGAGTTCCAGGCGAATACACGGCAAATTCTACTACAGGAACCTTCATGGGTGTCGAATTTTTTTTAGTATATACTCGAGATGGTGAAAGGATTCTAACGATACCACATACATCTAAATCGGTTCAGGCGGTTTAGAAGTTATGATGCAATAAAGAATTCTATATAATATACATAAATCCTGAATACAATAAACTCATTTTTTGGGCTGACATGTGAAAAGTTAATGCGTTCTTTCTCAGGAAAATATCATACAAAGACCAAAAATAAACTCCCATCGAAAGCACAGCTTAGCAATATGTTAGGTTATAAACTAGCGGCCGCCCGCGACTTCGTACGCGTGGTGCTAGTTAGAAATAAAGGTTCACTGCTCGTTCTCCGTAGGTGATAGCATGATAATATGTTGCTTATATGTTGACCCGACTTCTTAATAATATTCATGCCTTTGAAGTAAATCCATGCAGTACTTTTTGAGTTTATCCCGGACATAGATACAGACAAACAGACAAAATCTCTTATGTAGAAGTAAAATACTCTTTGTTTCATCTCAATCGGATATTTCGTTTAAAAGTTATCACGTGTGTTAAGATGTTAAGAGTTGGTACCTATTAATGAGTTATAGGCCATAGAGTTTTTTATCAACATAAAATCCTGTACCTAATAATCTTTTTCGAAATATATTTGTTATAGAAACGCGGGTGAAACCGCGGGGCACGGCTAGTATTAGATAAATTAAAAAAAAAGAAACCCAGAAAGTTACATAGCAAACGCGCAACAGTTACAGACTAAACAGCAATGCAATTGTGGCCTAATTAGATTTAACGTCGAGTTTAATAACAATATTTGATTGAATTGAAAAAAACCTGATTAGATTTAAAACGGTCGCGACTGCTAGTAAAGCAAACAGCCAAAGGGTCAATTGTTCGGGTAAAATTATTGTGTTATGCAACAGATTCGCTTTCTAGTTGTATTAGCCGCAAAATATTATATTTTATAACTAAACACAACGTTTGCCTACGTGTTGTATCAGTGAAATTGTGCGTGAAATTGAGCATTATAATTCGCATCTAGAAGCTTCGTCGTGTCTAATGAGTTTAGTTAAAGATCGAGCAGGTGTTTATTCTAAAAGTTTTGAAGGAATGAATTTCGATACGGTATATTTGCTTTACAATTTTTATTGTAAGCTACATTTAGGGCACAATTAAATAACTCCAATATTTATTTATTACATAATTATTTATGAGTAACACAGTCATTGTCTATTCATCAGCCTATTACGGTTTATTCCCTATGGATGGAATAGGGATAGATTGGGCCATGACCCACCACGCGGGCCTAATGCGGTTTGGCGGCTGCTAACGACTGCAGATGCAGCCGGGACCAACGGCTTAACGTACCTCCGAAGCACGGGGCACTCAAGATAGAAGATTTTTGGTCACCCATCCAATGTCCGACCACTGCGAAATTTGCTTAATTTCAACAATCGCAGCCGAACGCGCTAACCACCAGCGCTATCGGGCTCCTCGGGTCTGTCTATTGCGACACTAAAATAAAAATAATCCATTTTTTTATATATAGCGAAATATATCGGGTCTGTTTCCAATTTTAACATACATCCAATCCAACTAAAATATACTCAAACAGAGTAAGTATCTGTAAAGATACATTTATTAACAGTTCAACCCAATTACATAATTCTGTAAATTACACAGGTATGCAATGTAATATTTTTTTAATTTACTAAATTTTTTGATTAATGTAAAGCACGAGTCAATTTACACGAGTATTTAAATAAGATTGAAGGTCGATTGATGAAACTGCAACCCTAACGACTTCTGTTCTAATCATAACATGTGTATATTTTATTTAATATACTCGCGCATGTATTCGATTATTATTAAAGAATTTGTGGCGATGTGATATAAGTTACACTTATTGATACCAAGATCATAGTCACTTACCGATTTACTTACAATGTATAACAAATACATTATTAAGCTGATATCATTATACAATGTAACGAGCTAATTGCGAACCAAATAAATGTTTATTATCAGTGAAAGTATTTATTCGTTTTAAACAACTTGGCGTTGTAATTTTATAATTTGGAATTATTATGAAAGTACAAGAAAAAAATAAGTATGTATAAAATTACATTTACTTTTTTTCCTTCACTCATTTAACGCTCGTCTTATTCTAGGCTACCACAACAAATACCACAAGGACGAGTTCCACAAGGAGCACAAGTTCTACGACGACTTCCACAAGAGCGGCGAGCACCACCGCTACGGCAAGTTCCATGCCAAGCACGCCAGCAACGAGAGCGGTAAGAAGAAGGCGCACCACGTCAACGCCGGACACGACATTATGGAGCGAGGCAAGAAGGGATACAGGTACATAACGTTCTAATTATCTACTCAGATAAGCATATATATATAATCAAAAACAACCCTCCGCAAGCTAGCAAAGGGGGAAGAAGAAGGCGCACCAAGTCAACATGGACATGATTTTATTAAGTGAAGCAAAAACGGATACAGGTACTTAATAATTCTAATTCTTTAAATATAAAAGGGTAGGAAAGTACCCCACGCCGAACACGCGCCCGACAAGACTTCGTGGAATCATGCAAGAATCAGAATCAGAAAGAAGAAGAAAATCAGAAACAAACACTTAGTTTGTATCCCTTTTGAGTACAATTCATTCTATAGCTATAGCATTCTATATAAAGCATTTATAAGCCCCACTGATGATATATATACAAGCATAGGAAACATGATGATAAGTGCAACTGGAGACCATTTCTACACTAAACTAGCTAGTAACGAAAGTGGGAAAAAGAAGGCACAACACGTCCACGCCGGACACACTTCATGGAGCGATGCAAGAAGGTATATAGGTACACTACATACTGATTATCTACTTAGAGAATCATATAGAAGCAAAATCAACCCTCCGGTTGATAAGTGCAACTGGAGACTATTTCTATACTAAGCAAGCCAGCAATGAGCAGCATGAGCAATGAGAGCGTAAAAAGAAGGCGCACCGCATCAACCCCGAACATGACTTCATGGAGCTAGGCAAGAAGTTATACAGGTACTCTGAATTTTAATATTGTTAATATAAAAGTAATCGGTAAGCTTAGACGAAGATAAGTGTGTCTAGACACCAGTTTTACACTGAGCATGCTAACTAAAAGATCGGTGGGAACGCACGCCATGTCAACGCTGAGCATAACCTGATATATCACGGCAAAAAGTACAACACTCAAGTCAGTTTGGGATGATGACAATATTTTTCTTCGTCTATTAAGTAGATTATCAAAAAATATCGGACACTTGTTTTCCCATCAAAACTATTACAGAGATAAGTATATTGATTTGAAATGTCGCATGACGTCATGGAATAGTAAACATTTTACTTAGAAGTGACATCACGAGCTTCCACCTCCAAAATTTAACGCGCTTTATCTTGGTATTTTTTTTTGTTGATAGACAAAATAAAAAAAATGCAAAATTGTCCGTCCATGCAAATCCATTATTTATTGATAATTTTACTGACTGACCAAATAGCATTTCGTTCACTTTACCTATCATCATCCCTATTATCTACCTACACGAGAATAGAAAAGATGACAAATGGCGATACGAAATTATCTGAACTATCAGAAATACGAATACGTCAAGTTTACGCCTTTCCGGAGTTTCTGGACACGAACTCATGAAGCGCTGCAAGAAGGGTTACAACCATGTTACAGCATACGTATCAGATTAGCTCGATGACACAGTGGTTAGGGGCGACACAGTGGTTTTCCTCCTTTTGGGAGGCACGTTGAGTCACGAATCCTGTTGCTGGCTGCATCTGCAGTTATTAGGACTCCACACCCGTGGTAGTTGATCAGGGTTTATTCATCTAGTTATACTAGTCACGGCTCAACCTCCTTCATAGAGATGAGAAAAAATCCATGTGTTGAATCTGTTGGGGAGGTTCCAACCACTTGTCTGTCCGCTATCGCACGCCCCACTTCTCTCAGGAGTCCCAATGCTGCGCGAATTGTGAAAAAAATTACGCCCGCCGGACTGCTAGATAAAAATGCAATTATCTCGCTGGATAATGAAGCTAAGACTAAACAAAAAATACAAAAAAAAATATTTAATCTTAAACAAAAAATACCGTAAAGCTGATTAAATAAAGAATCTACCACAGAATATTTGGATCTCCGTTACTTAAAAAACTATTAACTAAAGCGGGTTGAACTGAACAAAAAGTAAAACTAAAATTAACTTTTACAATTTAAAGGCTTACTACCTCGTTATTGATATCAAAAACCCTTTTTTTTCAATCTGTATGCTATTCAGTAAAGCAAAATCTACGAGTAACATCCTGTCGACTCCTCATCCACCACTAAAATAGAGATATTCAAATAATAGCTGCCATCTTCTAGGAGTAGACATAACATTTGTTTCCTGTTTATTATTAAAAGAAATATGGTCGATAACTGAGACTTGATTCTATCACTTAGATAATATTTTATTAAATCTAAAGCATTGCCTCGTAGCCCATATCTTTCAAGTTTACCTAGCTATGTTAAATCGAATACCTTTGACATGTCCATAAACAAAGCAAATACAGGCTTCCTTGCATACACTTCTAAGAAATTCCTAAATTGCAAGATTTACCTACATACCTTTGCGGAATCCTTTTTGTTCTTCTACAAGTATGATATTTTTCTCAAAGAAATTAGATATGTTGTTGTAAATAATAAAAAAAATTAGAAAAAACAGGAATCAGTGCTATAGGTCTGTAGTCCCTAATGTTAAGTTGTCACCCACTTTAAAGATAAGTTTTGAAATTGTTGTGTGAGTGCTGAAGCAAAGCTGCCTTGTTTAAGGCAGAGGTGAACGATAAAAGTAAATTTAGGAACAATTAATTCACACACACGTTTTATAGTTAAAACACAAATATCATTTAGTTTTTTTTTCGATAATACACACCAAATAGACCTATTTCAGTAGTTGGATTTAAAAATGTGGAATTATCTGAGTTGTATACATTTGTTTCATTAAATTATCGTCAGAAGAATGATTTTTAACTAGATCAGCATAATAGTTATTAAAAGATTCTGCAATTTAATGTGGTCTGTAATTGTATAATTATTTGCACATATTTTTGTACTATGTGAGGAGAACTTTTGCTAATTGTTAATGTAAATAATTAGTTTAAAATATTCCAAGATGCCTTTGATTTATTTTTTTAAGTCATGATAAGATTGTTCTGTGATTTTTGGGTTAATTGTATTATTTTATTTAACTTATTAGCGTATTATTTAAATATTTGCCTTTCTAAAATACGTTTTGATGTTCTATATTTCCAAAGAAGGTAGCATTTACGCTTACTACAGATTTTTATCCCCTTAGATAACCAACTTGGTTTCACCTTTAAAGCATTTTTTATTTTAATAATTGGGAAACAAAGGTTATATAACAACTTAATTGTATCAGAAACACGTTGTTTGCTTCGTTTGCATCAGTTTTTTCATAAACGTCAGTAAATTTGAGTTTTTCTGAAAAATTCCATGAACTTCCGCAAATTGTCCACAGAATAATCACGTTTAAATAAAAACCAATACGTTAAACGAACAAGTTTTCTACACTGGATAGTTTATTTGCTTTATGATCTGAGAGTCCTGGTTCTAATTATTCCCACTTAGATCCATGTATATTATGCAGTATATTATCTATGTATAATCCACTGCTTGGTCTCGTAGATTCCTTGACGACTGATATTATTAGATTGTGGCTGTGAATAAGACGCTTAAATTTAAAAGCACGTCAAAATTTTTTTTATTAAATAGAATTGGGAATGTTATGTTGTTTTACATCGTCATAATGTCATATTATGAAAAAATTAAAGTTTGTGTGTTTGTATGTTTCTTACTCAATTAAATTAGTCGCCGTTAATATATAATATTTATATCTATAATACAAAGGAGATTGCTCAGCTTCTATACATGTTTGGCCTAAAAACCAATAATCATGAAAATTATTGGTTTTAAAAAAAATATATATATATAAATAAAATGAAAAATTGTTTCCTAGATTCGAAATTATATATAAATTACTGTAGAATCGAATATTATTGACGGACACCCCTGAGAACTTCAATAAACCATATACACTGAACCATTTTGAGGTTATGTTTGCAAATAGGTACATAGTTATTAAAATATGGGTGCGTGTACTTATGTAGGCGCGCGAGAAGTTATCCTTCTTTGGCATCGTTTAAAATTAGTTTTTTATTGCATGCAAATAATTAATTACTATAAATTAATAAAAAGTCTGGAAAAGGACACAGTCAATAAAGTTCAGTTTTAATTTGAAAAAATAAATAAATAATCAAAATATTCAATTAAAATCGCTACTGAATATAATTTATTAGAACATATGTGATTTGCACTTGTATGAAATTCAAACACGTATTCCGAATATACAAACTAGAATTATGTGGATAAATATTATAAATATGAATACCTATAACTGTTACTTTATTACAAAAAATAAAGATGTGGTTTTTGGTTCTACTACACCAATGGTCAAGAGATGGCGCTGTAGTCTCCTGAATCGCGCTTTGGTTCCGTTGTTCCAGATTAATAAATACTTTTGATAGGCCTTCACAATGCAGTCGTTATCACCCACTAAATAGAGATTCTATTTCTATTTTGTTGGTAGATTTTCTTAATGTGCGGTAAACACAAAAGTAAGTAATTTTTGTGTTACAGTGATGCGCGCGCATCTTAAAATTTCACTCTCATCATTTTTTCATAACGCGCCTAAAGAAGTATAACTTCAATAATAAAAAACAAATAAGTTATATAGTAAACTAGGGAAATCATGCCAAGTACCGAAATTATGTATTAGATTTAGGTATATAGAGCATGAAGATTATCAGATAGTTGCCTGTTTTTAAAGTTAATGCACCAGAGTCACTTTTAAAACCAGGTGTCATCTATGCATTTTCGGTTATAATATGGTACTCGGTGACAGAAATTGTGTGATAATTGTGAATGAGCCACAGATTAGAGAGAATTTTTAAACTCTCGTTAACCAAAGAAAGCTAAGAGATTTAAGTTATACAGCCATATCTTCAGTACTTTCATTATTTTTGTTATGTTTATATTATACCTATATTTTAGATTTTTAGTGTATCACACCATATAATTTTATTTATTTATTTATTTATAGTCAGGCAACGTAGGCCCATAATAGATACCTTAAAGTCTAACACATATACAGATTATAATGTGTTTATGGAGGTGTTTGGCGAAAAATGTATGGCAATAGACTTTATGATGTCGCCTACCATCTATAATAATTGTCTTAGTACATTTGCATGTAGT